TATATATATATATATATATATATAGTTGAGCACAAGATACAGACAGATGTTTATAAAATCACTACCCTATAGTTAAAGGGTTGAGATGGGGGAAAGAATAGGTCCAGTACCAGGAAGCACAACAAATGCAACCACTGCAGTGCAGTCGAATCTGACTCATAGGGACCCCTCCTTGGGTTTCCGAGGCGGTACCACTATGGAAGTAGATTGCACAACCTTCCTTCCAAGGAGTGGCAGGTGGGTTTGAACTGCCAGCCTTTTGATTAGCAGTCAAATGCATTAGGCACTATGCCGCCAATACCAGGAGCAGTGGCTTTATTAGCAGCCTGTAGGAGGGATAAAGTGGAGACTTGGGCCAACATGGTGCTAATTCTCCCAGGAAAGAGCTGAAGGAGCTGCTGACATTTTTCTTAAAAGAATCAATGTGTCTTCGTTTTCTTCTGTCTGCTCATTTGACCTTAGTTTGTTTCGGAATAGAGAGTAAGGGAAGAGAGAACTAAACTAGTAGGCTGGATGGGGGAGGGGGCAAAGGTAGATGGAACAGAGAGAACATCCACACTGTGGAACCCGTGGACAAGATCACAGGCTGCTGATCACCACCCAGGATGTCACTGTTTGCTTGTTGTAGTCTTACTTGTTCCTGCTTCTCATTTCAGATTCTCATCCTGATATAATAAGTCACGTCTTCCCAGCCATCATCCCTGTATTGACAAGCAAATGTCACCCATGTTTGATTGACAGCCATTGCTGCTGAATGTGGAAGTATTATTTAGGAATCAATTCTTATTTATTTAAAGTCATTCTTGTGTATCTTATGTATTTGTTGGTGGGATAACTTTGCCTAATACCTGCACTGGGGATTTTCCATTAATATTACAAATCCACCCCATTCTTGCTCCTGTTCTCCCACTGTGAATGGGGGTTCTTGTCTCTCATATTTTTTTTCCCCCAATTTCCTCTCCCTCAACATACACTTAAGAAATTTGTTATGGAGGTCATAGAACTAGTTCCATACCTTAGGAAAAGACCAAGCCCCACACTTTTGTAAATAGTGCTTGCTTTATCTTAAGACTTTTGAAGGCATTTTGACAAGTTATTACTTCTTATGCATGAGACTCTTCTAAGTAAATCCAACTTCAGGTCCTATGGTAGTATCTCTTGATCCCCTGAAAGGATGCCACAATGACAAGCAATTGTAAGTAGAGTACATACGTATACACTCAAGCATGCACATATGCATGACACTGTGCAGCATTTATAAAAAGAATCCCTCCTTCCTCCTTTATGCGGTGGATATGTTCGTTAAAATCACTGTGAAATAATGCCCTTTGGCTTTTCAACACACCTTGATGTCCTGAGCAACATCCTTATTTCATTTTAGAAAGAGGAAGAGGAAAACTATAAAGATTAAAAAAAAAAATCATATCCACCACCTGGATAATTCTAAAGGGTCCTCCTTATGTAAAAGTGGCATTTTGAAGAACACCTGAAGCACTGATTGTGGGTGAGTCAGTAGGGAAACACTGTCAGCCAAGCCACCCTGCTTTCAACCTTCACCTCCACCTCTAGCTGAAGCTGCTGGCAGTAGGGAAATAGAGGACTTCGGTGTGACTGGAGTTCTGAAGGTTTTTGCACATCTGTCCCCTCCTCCCCGCTCACAGGGTCTGTCCAGTGACAGCGTCTGCCATCGCCTGGGTTCAGCAAGGGAGTATTCAGGATCTCACTGATCATCCATGTGCAGAGAGGGGAAAAAAAAGAGGCCGAAAAAAAAAAAAAAAAAAAATCTCCACATTGTCACAGTAATGCCAAACTCTCTCTGAGTGGGATGAGCAGAGCAGATGCTGCAATGAGATGCCAAAGCGGCTCCCCTTCCTCTGTGCCTTGGGTGCCTATAAATTGCTCCGGCGCGCGTTTGTCAGCCTCCTCTTCTCCTGGCAGGTGGTACCCAGGCAGAATTCTGCGTTCAGTCTCACTCTCGCTCCGTTCCTGGCTGTGAGGCGCTCGCTACTGCTCGCTAGCTCGTCTGCCCCAGCTCAGAGCTTCGCCGAGGCTATTGTGGCTGTGGCTGCCGCTCCGCACACCTCCGGGGCTACTCAACTGAGCTCGCGGACAGCGAGGCTCCTTGGGGTGCGCCTCTATTAGAGTTGTGGTGGTTGCAAAGAAAAAAAAAAAAGGCAGAGGAAGGGCGAACAGAGCGAGCGAAAGAGGTGGAGAAGGAGGCAGAAAAAGGCAACTTCAGACGGAAAGTTAGTGTGAACTGGCGCAGTCTGCAAAAACGGAAAAGTCGATCGCTGGCAGCGGCGGCATAAAAGTGTGAGCGGTCCGGGTGAGCGCGCGAGAGGCGGCAGCTGGCTCTGCCCTTCGGGTGGCCGCGCCAGCCGCGGCGGCAGCCACAGGTGCGAAGGGGTTCGCAGGAGGCGAGAGGGCGCCCTAACACCCCTCCCCCAGCCCCCCCGCCCCAGCTTGGGACTTCATCTCAAGTCACTTCGCGCCGGAGCTCCCTCCCCAGCCGCAGCCTCAGCGGGGGGAGCAAGAGCAGAAGAGGAGCGGCCGGTGCGCTACCGCCCAGGGGAGTTGGGGTTCGCAGGGGGTTGTTTTCGGCTCTGAAGAGGTCCCCGCCCAACCTTCAAAATTTTGTCCAAAAGCAGACAAGAGGATCGCCCCGCGCTGAGCCGGCTGGTGGGCAGCAGGAGGCGCCTGATCGCCGCCGGGGCGCTGGGGGTGGTGATGGTGCTGCTGTTGGTCATCCTCATCCCGGTGCTGGTGAGCTCCGCCGGCACGTCGGCGCACTACGAGATGCTGGGCACCTGCCGCATGGTCTGCGACCCCTACGGGGGCACCAAGGCACCCAGCACGGCCGCCACGCCCGACCGCGGCCTCATGCAGTCCCTGCCCACCTTCATCCAGGGGCCCAAAGGTGAGGCGGGTCGGCCTGGAAAGGCCGGCCCGCGTGGGCCTCCTGGAGAGCCTGGGCCTCCGGGCCCCGTGGGGCCACCGGGTGAGAAGGGCGAGCCAGGCCGCCAAGGCCTGCCGGGCCCGCCCGGGGCGCCTGGCCTGAACGCGGCCGGGGCTATCAGCGCTGCCACCTACAGCACGGTGCCTAAGATCGCCTTCTACGCCGGCCTCAAGCGGCAGCACGAGGGCTACGAGGTGCTGAAGTTCGACGACGTGGTCACCAATCTCGGCAACCACTACGACCCCACCACGGGCAAGTTCACCTGCTCCATCCCCGGCATCTACTTCTTCACCTACCACGTCCTGATGCGCGGAGGGGACGGCACCAGCATGTGGGCTGATCTCTGCAAAAACAACCAGGTGAGTGCGGGCAGGCTGCCGGGAGGGCGGGGAGAGAGAGCGCGAAGGTGCGGGCGAGAGGGAGGAGACCCCGGAAATGGGGGTGGGGAGCCCGCCGAGAAGGGCGCGGCCGGCCGGCTCCCCAGAGTGACGGCAAGGAAGGGCACTGTTCCACCCTGGAGAGGCGGAGGTCGTCTACTGGAAAGAGCGCCCAGCTGCCTGGAGAGGGCGGTTCCCAAGCCAAGTACCCGCACTCGATGCGCGCGCCTGAGAGCGCGACCCTTGAGGCGCGGAAAGCCGGGAACCCAGTGCTTGGTCTCCAGGCGGGACGGCTAGCGCGCGAGGGGGAGTCCCGGGGCAGGGAGCAATCCCCAGCTGTGGGATCTTAAGCAAGAGAGGATTGCCTGCAGGCTTTTCCGGGAATGCGACGGCTGAGGACCCCAAAATAGGCGTGCCAGGGTGGCAAACCCAGGAGAGAAAGACCCGGGCCTGAGCGAAAAAGAAAGGACAATTACAATTGGGGCTTGTCCAAGGCCGGGGCGGTCTTGTCAAGTCAGCAGTCGCAGAGCCCTCGCCGCGTTCCAGGCGGTGAAGCGCATCTAGTCAGTGACGAGACACAAACTCCAGTTTAGTTTTCAGCCGAAGAATGAAAGGGGAAACAGATGGAATGGTGTTAGGAAAAGTTGAGACTCTGTGAGTTCATACAGTAAAACACGCACCCAAACACAGTCCAAAGTGTACTGAACAGAGTAGAAGGACGCCCAGGATGGTGGCCCGGAGCGCGAGTAGCCCGAGCCCAGCCCAGCTCCATCGCTGGAGATCTCATTGCCAACTACCTACCCTTGGGCATGCCTGCGTGAGAATATTTGCAACGCCTGCCTTCTCCCTCGGCTTTGGCCTTGGCTGTGAAATAGACTTAGATTCGCTCCGGCCACGAGGATTTGCTCTCCTGAGCCGGACGGCGCAGCTAAGAGAGCTGCGGGTCTGCAGTTTTCTACTGGGGCCACTTTACCGTTTGCTTGAGAAATTCGCGGTCACTGCAAAACCGAAGCGTGTGATCACTTCGAGGAGGAAAATAATCTTTGCAACCACCTCAAAGTGTAATCGGACCTTCTGCAAACGCTGCATCTGCAGCCACTCGGGCGAGGCCTTGCACCTTGCAACCTGTGTCAAGTTCCAGGCTGTAACTTTGTTTATTGGGAGGGACAGGGAATGGCCCGTGACCCTGTCATACTATAGAAAGCCTCAGTTTTTGCAGCACCTTTGGTTTAAAAAGAGCTATAGGACTTCGGGTCACTCACCTTTAGGAAATTCAGACTTTCTTAGCTACAACCAAGGTTTCCATTAAGCAGCACAAAGGAGAATTTCTTCAAAACACCTAATTTGGTGTCAGAATTCTTTTAAAAGCGGAGACAAGTGTTCTAAATGTATACATAGAGAAAGGACAAAAAGTCTTGTTCCTTCCTCTCCCTACCTAGTCCCTCACTTCTGAAGGAATTCAGAAGCAAATAGCTTAAGGACCCTCAGGATGAATAGAACAAAAAGAGGAAAAATGGCCACCAGGAGGCACTGACAGGGTTATTATAGTTATTATGCATAAAAGAGTATTAAGATAAATAACAATTATTCACAAAGTCATGGAATAGTTACAGGTAAATGGTTTAAAAGGACATGATTCACTGTTCCTTATTAGAGCTGTTCTGTCATCCTAACAAATTAGTTTATAAACAACCCCTCAGCTAGCACCCCATTATTTGAAAATTGGCTCTCTTCCAACATAAAGGTTAAGACTGGAGAATACTGTAGAGATTTATTTTTTTTAGGTTTTTAAAGGTATTAATTAAAATGAAATAAGATTCAAGATTTATCAGCAAAGGCATAAAAATGCTCACATCTTCAAGTATCTGGAAATCTCAATTACATGAAAAACTAGGGAACAATTCATTTTAATTAGTTTAAATTGTTGGTGTCTACATTGCTGAGCCTGTGTATATTCCAAGAAAACTGATTCCAATAAAACTATTCCATATAGGTATTTGGTGTGCCTTTTGTTTTAAGAATTATTTAATTGTGGGAGGTGTACAATGCTTCTTTGTATCATCCTGTCATATACATTCTATGGGGATTGGAAAAAGAAATAACAAGGTAAAACAGCTGTTCTTCTAATGTCTAATGCTTTCCTTTGGCATTATTAAGCTGCTACAAAAGGTGTGCTGCAAAAGGTGTGCAACAGGTAATTCAGAAGTATAAATTTAGAGTAGTAAACAATATTATCTGGTCTAACAGTCTAGACTATTTTGGATAACAGTTTTTACAATATTACTGTTAAGCACTTTTGTCTCTCAAAAAGAACTATTTTGTAAAGTGTAGTCTGTAGATAATTACAAATAAGAAATCTATTTTATTATTATCATTAAACAAATTCTCTTGATTTTGAATTATATTCTGGCCCAATCACTTCTTAGAATGGCAGTTTCTCTTTCTGAGCTGATCTAATTTGTTTTTATAAAACAAATTCAGAGATCCATGTCAGTGTAATATTGTATGGATTAAGTGGATTTGGAGAAGCACAAAAATTAAAAATCTAGTTCACTCTAGGATAGAGGCATGTCTTGGGATCGTAACCACATGAGAGCCATTTTATTTATTCTTTGTGTGGAATGCACGATCACAGATGGAAACATCAAAAGCCAGTAAATTAACCTGATATACCACTTAACCTTTTGTTTATGATTCCACAGAAGTACAATGAAAATGAAATTATGAGAACATCAGTAGCAATTAATTATATTAGCAAATGTTACCATAAATGTTGTCTCTATGATAAATCCTCACTAATAAGATAATGCTAAAGCTCCATAACCTATTACATTCTCACAAACATACCACTAAAAGACCCACAGTTCTCATATTTCCCATGAAGTCATCAACTTAAATTTAACCTTACCATTTGTGGAGAGCCCATATAACAGTGCATATTAAAGGTAAAAATTGGAATAAAATAGCTTTACATAGAAATAGGAAATGCTTTTAATAGGCTTGTGTACTTGTAGCAGAAAACCTGAATAAAAATACTATTATTTGAATACAATCAGTATAATACTACTATAATAAGCCACTCTAATAAAAAATAAAACTAGCTTAGTATTTTAACCATAAAATAATTAAAGACCAATTTTTACTCTCAGAATTCATTAGCTATGGCATCAGTGAATATGAAATATATTGGAGAGAATGAATAGTTTGTGGGTTGAAATTCATTTATTAGAGAGATTAGTGAAATGTCAAATTATCTTTTTAAAGGCAGTAAAACATGGACCAAAAATAAAGTAGAATTTAAAGAGTTAACTTATAATATATTAGAGTACATAGGTAAAACTGAGGATATTGGGCTCAGGAAAGGATACACCAGATTCCCAGAGAAAATGCTGAAATCAGTGTTCACTTAGGAACCTGAAAATGACTTCCTGAGTGAATGCATTACCTTGCTTGATAGTTTGATGGTTTAAAGGAAGAATCATTGAAGTCACTGAGCTGGATACTAGAGTCTGAAATTAGAAGTCCCATTATACCTTTAGAATATGATCAGGTGAAGAGGCATACTCCAGTCATGTAAAGCACACTGGACTATGGCGGTTGTTGAACTGGGTAACAGTCTTATGGTAGAGTATAGGTTAACATCTTAGAGAACTGTTTTCATTAAAAAGCCATCACACTGGCTTTATCTAACAAAGGAGGTAAAAACCATAAGGGTAACTTTCTAGCCTGTGGGATCACACTAATGCATTTGCAGGTTTTTGTGGTTATATCTACTGAACAAAAATGGTAACATTTACATGGTTTTGTGGTTACATCCTGTAGAATAAAAATTGCATTATATTTTTTTATTGTCTCTAAATCAAGTGATTTTAATGAGCCCCAGTTCCTAAATGCCTTCCTATAGAAAACAATGTCAAAGCACAGTCCCCATAGAACATACACTTCAATACCCAAAACACTCAATAAAATGCAAGTCTGGTTATTAACAATGGTGATGCGTATATACTGGACTGATTATTAATTGGTGTATTAATATCCTGGCTAATTACTATTTTGAATTTTAATTTTCTCATTCATTACAAATCCATACTTTTTTTTTAAAAAAATCAAGTCATAATAGCAATATCCTCCTTGTAAATTTTTTTCCCTGGGAATTAAGGACTACATGAAATTAATGATTCAAAGCATTCAACTCCTACCAATTGATGACTATTTCCTAGGAAACATTACGAAGTTTGATTGTATTATTACTTAATGGTCAAAACAGATCACTTCACTAAATTGGTGTATACATTTGAGTCAATGCTTCTAAGCATAATTACATGGTATATTGCTTTCATTATAAAATGTATTAGTGAGAAGTGGCACAATGTTAAGCAATATTAAATCCTTTAAGCCTTTTCTCCCTGCTATACAATATCCAGAAAGAAATTTTAAAAATACTACTCAAATTACAAGTTCACCAGTGTTAAGTGCCTTCTCCTTTTTTTTTTTTTTTTTTGTTAACATTTCAGCATTAATGTGAGGACACACCACATGAAAATTTAATTTGAAAACCTAACATTTAAATTTTGAAAGAAATGCATGGAAATTCTTGACTTATGTCTCATTTCCCTCATTTTGCCAAATGATAAAATGCAGCATATTGCACTCCCAGTCATGCATTATGACAGAATGTAGGTTTGCAAAACCACTAAATCATTGGCTGTGTTATCCAAGGAAATATCATTACAGCAGAATAGAAACAAGCCACAAAGTGAAAGATGTTTTACGGAAATAAATCAAATACGAATCTGCCTATTGAAAGATTTTCTAAGGCAGAATCAAAATATATCTAAATGAATCTGAAGCGTAATTTGAGTTGAGGCTGTGACAGAATGTCCATATTATTTGAGATGATAGGCGATATGACTGCTCACAAATGTCTATCAACTCACTAACAAGATCATCCGCTCCACATGAGCAGATTATACTCAACTCTCATCCCCAAAGCAAACCACATTTAGAATCACCTAAATACAAAAAGTGCATTCAATGAGTTGATTCAAAAATTCTAGAAATTTTAGAGACCTCCCACCATAGAAATTTAGTTCCTCTTATAAGTTTTTCATGTATGGAAAGTAAATAGCTGATTTAAGTGAATACATCATAGTTAAGTGATATAATCAAAGATGTTTAAAGGATTTGGGCTTCTGAAGTAGCCTGGCAAAAGGGGTTTACTTGAGTCCCATTTTGAAAGCCCCAGACCAAAGAGCTATCTTCTTTCTCCCCTCCGCCCCCCTACCCCATATAGTTGAGTAGTGGGGCTTCCCTGGTTTTTATCTACTGGGGATCTCTATAAGTTTTCAAATAGTTGTGGGAGTTAGGCTTGAACTCCTGTACTCCTAAGCAGCTGGTCAGAATACTACTATTTGGCTTAAATTAAAATGCAAAAACCAACCAAACACACAAAAAACTCCCAACCTATTATTTTTATTTCAAAAAGAGTTTAGGCATAGGAATTCAGGGAATTGGGAAAAGTAGTGATTTAGGAAGAGAAAAGATTGGCATGCATTCTTTTCCAGTATATACTAAGAAAAGATGGCTGTAATAGCCCTCACTAAAGCACTACTTTCTACTTCCTTTCCTCTTTTCCAACAACATAATTGAAACTATTATGTTGATATCCTCATAACGCTCCAGAAGCCAAGGTGTGGACTTGTCTGTGTAAAAATTCTATGCTATGGAAGCAAGTCTTCTTATAATGCTGGGTGAATGGCAAAAAAGAAAACTCGAGAATTCTCTTTTAGGAATTTTAATTCTTGTCTGTTTCACATAGGTGCGGGCTAGTGCAATTGCCCAAGATGCTGATCAGAATTACGACTATGCCAGTAACAGTGTGGTGCTTCATTTGGAGCCAGGAGATGAAGTCTATATCAAATTAGATGGCGGGAAAGCTCATGGAGGAAACAACAACAAATACAGCACATTTTCTGGATTTATTATTTATGCTGACTGATAATGCGGAAACTAAGCTTATAATTCAGAGCTTGAACACTGGATTCGTATGGCTAACGTCAGTGAATCAAGGATCCCAGGAGATGCCAATTGTGGGCACCTCAGTTGTGTGTATGTGGGGAGATCAAATGCTACCTGACTCACATCTGTGTCACTCAGAAAAACATTATGTAAAAAAAAAAAAAAAAATTAAAAATTAAGAGCAAGATAAGCAGATGTGTGATCCACTACCGCCAAAGCAAATACTTCTTATTGTTAGTGTCCATGTGAATGAAGTCCTATATAGATCACGAATTTTTATAGAAAAATCTAAGACACTGAATTATTTCTTCAATATATATGATACTTTGTGTACTGTGATCTTGCTGCTTTTATCCATATGTCAGCTTTGGTTCTTGTGAGTTTACCTGCTAATTATGATACTTGGAATCCATTCATAGTGTGGGGAAGAATGATTTTACCCTGCAGGAGAAGAAAAGATTGAAACAATGCTGCTTGTCCCCAAAGAAATTGTTTGCCTTGTACTTTTGTCAACTTTAGAGCTAGACTTGGGAATGATTCAACTTCAAGCCTTAACCTGGAATTTTCTGGATTTGAGGGAATTCCCAAACTTATGGTAATTTTCACATTTTCTTTGTCTTAATGAATTTTCTTTTCTCTCTTTTCTGGTATAGTCTTTAAAGATAGAGATTGAAATTTTAGCATAGGATTACCTTCAAAGTGTGAAAATGTATAATTATGTATGGTATTTAGAATATCCCCTATGTCTCCTTTTTGTCAATAGGGTACATTTAGATTCACTTGGAAAGTCAGAAAAATTTATTCTTTGGTAGTAAGTCAGACTGAGGCATTTGCCTTCTTTAGAACAAAAGATTATTCATAACCCAATGCACAAAGGTTTAATTTGAGCTACTGCATGCATCACCAAGGGGACACTAAGTAAGGCCTTCAAACAGTTAGTACAAGTCTATGGCCTGAGGTTATTTCAGAATTAACAGTTTCACATATAACTAATATGACAACAAAGTGTATATATTTTATACAAATACCTGCTACATATATATATATGTATATGTATATATATGTATATGTATATGTATGTATGTTAGATGAAATATAATATATATATATGGCTTTAGGCCATAAGGCACAGTGGCTGTTATAGCCTCAAAATTTAATTTAAAGACATATATGTATATATATATACATATATGTTTATAATTTGACTTATTTTGGATGACAAAAATATATGGAGTAGCAAAATAATTTAAATGACTTTGGTTGTCCAGAAAATTAGACTTTTTTAGGTTAAAATGCCCCATATGTCACATTTGTGTAAGTTAAGCCTATGAGTTCTTTATTATCCTATGCCAATCAATACTTTAACAGTGGTTGGAGCAGACTACTAATATTAGGACTGCAGAAGCAAAGGCAGCTTTCCTTTGCAATGTTTATGAATTATCTGCATTTGAATGATCATTTCAAATTTTTTTTCTGAGGTGAACTGAAGCTGACAGTAAAGTAGATTTTGAGGGTAGTGCAAATCTTTTTCCTCTCATTCAAATACACTGCCAAAAGCATCTCTTTAGTCTAAGGAAAAGATTAAAAATGCATGTTGCTATATTCTAACTATCGGACAATTTCCACGATTACAATGAAAAATCTATTCCTTTTTCAGTTGTGTTTGAAGACTCTTGACAAGCAGATTTCAAAACCAGAGATTTGAAAATCTGCTTGTTTCACTGGTGAAAGGCATTTGCATTCTTTCATTTAAAGGAACTAGTTTGTTCTTCTGGCTTCTTCCTCTTTGGTACTTTCTGTTCTAATACACGGAAAACTTGATCATTTTCAATTGGCACAGGTATCTTTTATTTAGCAAACCTCAGCTTTCCAAGAGTCATGCTTGGTGGTCCCATTTGAAGGTGCTGTTTGCTTTGTTTAAATGCCTTAGACTGAGTAACTGTCATGATTTATATGACTAAACACACTTAGCCAATTCATCAAGAATAATGACTAATTCAGTTTGGCCTTTATAATATACAAGACAACTCAAATGAATTACAATGGATTTTATTTTTATTTAACAGTATGCATTTATGGAAGAGGAATTTGCAGCAAGGTTTTGAACAATTTTTTGTTTTGTTTTGTTTTAGGTACCAAATAGCATAGTGTGGATTTGAGCAAAAGATTAGCTTCTAAGTAGCAGTGCATATCAACTAAGAGTTAAAAAAATGATTTGACAGAAACAATCAGAGCTGGGTGCATCTTAAAGATCAGGCTTTAAAATCAGACTGTCATTTCTAATAGATATGACCTTTTCTTCAGAAAAATAACCATTATTTTCTCTGTTTAGACCCAAGGAAAAAACAAATAAAAGGTAAAGAAAATAAAGGAATGTATGTAAGGCAAACGTTTCTTTTTTTGCATTATATCTTATTAATTAAATTGTGGCCTTTGTTATTATAAATGTAATGATCCATTAAACTATATTATGTAATATATTTTGACTTTATGATTGATTTTTTATAATTCAGGACTTTTATGTATTTGTGCCCTCTAATACAACTTTTGCAAAATGTGACAAAATGTACACAAAATGGATTCCAGAAAGCCAAAGGTGTCAAAAAATAATTCAGTAAAATATATAGATAGGTGGACAGCATATTATTAACCTTCCAAACTATTTTTATCATTGGAAATTGGTCATTGTATTATAGTATCCTTTGGGGGGGAAAAAAAAGTCTCAGAATTTAACTTCCCTTGTTGCCAAAGCTATTTTAAAGTGCCATATTATTCATTAAGCATTAATTAAAGAACAGCAGGATAATTAGTAGGATCATCAATATTACAAGAAACATTAGATTGCTCCAGAAGGGAGTAATTTAACTAGAAACACTTTAAATTTTCTCAAGTAGTGCAGCTGATAGATTACAAAGAAAAGAAGAGAGAAAGAGAAAGAGAGAAAGAGAGAGAGAAACACTCCACTTAGGGGATATAGACTTTAAATCATTGTTTGGAAATAGGTACTTTTCTATTTATTTTGCAAAGTGAAAACGATAGGGCTCAATTAAACTCAGTAACCCTCTGGAAGTGTTAGTGTAATAATTTTGGAAAAGGCAAACTCTTCTAATTCACATAAAAAGGAAATTATCAGTCATTAGTCCTATGTACTCTGATTAATACCTCACAGCTGGTTTGGAATCCTACTGAATGTTCTCTGCAAGTTTTATACACAAGGTGTAAATTCATAAACACTCATCCTATTTGAATGCTAGCCATCGCTTAGGGTTCTCTATTAGTATTTTATCAAGTGCATTCTCAGTTAGACCTCTAAGTAACATTTTAGGAACAATGTTGGTGAGTATATGAGAATAGCCGTGACCACCATATTTCATGAGCCGATGCTTCGTATGTATGTCATGTGCCATCAGAATTCGATCTTCATAGCCCTCATCCACCAGGAGACGCACCCTGTGAAAAATGTTATCTCATTATTTGGCATTTGTCTCACGTTTAAAATTTTCAGGGTGCTTTAAACTTTTTGCTCATAAGCCTATTGTGCTTGTCGGAAAGATACTGCCTTCTGTTGTGGCATGTGTACTGGGAGACCCTTAATAAATACTGTGTGGTGATAATAAAGATATTGGTGCATCCTAGTGGGAACATGATCCTTATTCCACACACACAGAAATCTCTAGCCTGTGATATTTATGACATTGTCCAGCAATTCTGAACTAAAGATAGCTTCTAATAGGATATGCCAGTTTGAATGAATGACCACTTTAGCATTTTACTAAATAACTTTGCTCTGAATTTGTATTCTAATCTCTTCTCTAAACTGCCTCTTTTAGTGGGCCCATTTTTCAGATCTCATTCTCTCTCTCTCCTTTTATCTAGCAAACAAAATCAATGACTATTTGGGGTTTAAATAGGCAAAGAAAATGAATCTTTGCCTAAGTAACATATTCTGAAAAAAACTGGGTTGAAAGTGAACAGTGAATGATAAGCTAGACAGTCATTTTAAACAGGTAGGCAACAGTACTTCTGTACTTTGAACATCTGTCCCTTTGAAGTTTATGGTAATTCTGATTTGGTGGTAGTCTTCAAGCATTGTATTAAATTGATCAATAAAAACTGATGCTATCTTCCTTCCATTTCAACAATTGCTAAAATAATGAGCAGTCCCTTTACACTTAACTGACTAAAATACAGCTTCCCACTATTGTCTAAAAATGTAATCCTCTTTGCTTTGTTAACTGCTGTAATCTTCTGTGTGACTCACCTCCTAAAGCCACCAGCTATATGTGTCTGGACTCTGGACAGTATGTGTCTTGACTTCCATGGATCTCTGATGTCAAGAGATGCAACTTGAAGACAGAGACTCTTCTATGAGATTCTCTATATAGTCTTGTCAGTCTCTAAAGTTTCTAGATCCCCACCATGAAAAATGGATGGACAGCAATTTCCTCCAGAAAATAACTATTTGAAAAGTATCTTTTTGTTTCCATAACATTTCTTGGCATTCTGGCCCATGAATAATATTTAATAACTACTTGGGTAAGCTCTGGTAGCATAGAGCCTAAGGCACTTGACTGCTAACCAGAAGGCTTGTAGTTCAAACCTACCAGCCACTTCTCGGAAGGAAGATTGGGCAATCTACTTCTATAGTGGCACTGCCTCAAAAACCCAAGGAGGGGTCGCTATGAGTCGGGTCCGACTTGATGGCACATAACAACACAATAACAATGGGTAAGCAAAAGGAGTCCCTAAGTGATGTAAACAGTTAATGTGCTCACTGCTAAACAAAAGGTTGGTGGTTTGAGCCCACCAGAAGGAAGTGCCTCAGAAGAAAGACCTGGGGATCTACTCCCACAAAATCAGCCACTGAAAATCCTATGAGCACAGTTCCATGAGTCTGAATGGGTTGAATAAACCTTGTAATTTCAGGTTAATGGAATGCAGGTGCCAAAGAAGTAGATGCAATGTGGTGCTTTGTCCAGAAATCTGCATTCATGCATTGAGTACCCCATGTGTACATATAAATGCCATTTGTGCCACTAAGGGTATTTGCCTCATTGAAATTTATATAACATTCTGAAGTTCTGATCTTTAGTTACTTTGGGAACAAACTCTATTTCAGGAAATTATCTAAGAGAGTTACATGATCATGAAAAAATGAGAAAGACTTGGCAGAATACACCTGCAATGCTGTAACTCAGTATAACATATCTTGATCCACAACTTTAAAGAAGTAACACAGAACAGAAGTTTTTAGGGTACATGTTTTCCATTATATTTGTGAGCATTTCCTAAGGTTTTTGTTTCTTTTTCTTGCCTGAGGAAAATGATATCTTATCTCTACAAAGACATATTCTATGGATAAACAAATAATTACTTGAAGATGCTATGTGTGACACCATGAAGCATAAAATTATTGAATTATGAAGTAGTAAGAAAAGAATATAATGGACAAGATACTCTTATTTTAAAATGGGAACCATTAGAACTCATTAAGCCAAGAATCTGGAGACTAGTTCCCTCATGAGAAAGATAATGTTATGACCGTGGAAACATAATCATATCCTGAACATCAAGAAAGCCTGGTCACTCCTGAATACGAGCGCCTCTCTCATGCTGTGCTATTGTGTGGAAGAACAGTAGTTACAGAGTTGCTGCCAGAAGGGAGGATCTACTGCAGATGAGAAGACAAAAAATTACAGTAATTATAGAAATACAAATGAGTTAGTGTTTTGCAAACAAATATTAGAGAGAGACTACAAAGTGTGAAAAAGGCAGAGA